TGCGTGTAGTTTGTTGCCCAGAGAAAATCAAAAATGACGACGCCTCCCGGGGATGCCTCCATGTGACATATATATTTGCACAAACGGTGTGCTATCTCGAGACACCGACCACGGATTGCAAAGGTAGCGGTTGGGACAGCTCGGGCAAAATGTTACTTGTTGTGCGCAAGGTTTAGTTTGCAATTTGGTGCCGAGATGGTGAAATGGGCTCGAGTCTGCTGGGTATTTAGGGCGCGCAGACACCAGACAGACACCAGACAGCCATGGCTAAATTTTCACGCCCCTGTGCATGAAAATTATTATTTTTCTCGTGCGCACATACTCCACACACGATATCTCTAAACAGCTTTTTTTTTGCAAAACAACAAAACAAAAAGCGTACCCCTAACGGGCCACACTTTTCACAAAAAAAAAACTAATGAAAAAAATTATGCCCATATGCCCAGAGAACGCAGCTGTAAACCTGATGTTTTCGCACGTGTCGGATCGAACGCTGACGCCCTTTTCTGTTGGCGCCGGTGTGCAGCACCTCAATCAACCGTCGCCCTCCCGGTGAGGGAGTGATTCTTTGTACCGAGACGTTGATGCATCTCGCTGCTGCTGTATGTTAGACTGTACAGCCGTGCACAACGATACTCGTGAAAACGCTGCTGTTGTCCTAAATGGATGACTTGTGTGATATAGCAGTTCGTTCCATTGGACTACGTGATACCAGCGTCGTAGAATGCTTGTGGCCCAGGCTTGCTGGAGTATCTCGGATGGGAGAGGACGGATTACTGCTGCTGTGCTACTTGTAGCGTAGGTTTTCGAACAGCAAAACGCGCCAACACATTACATGTTGCCTGCTCTTCCCTCATAAAGCGTGGTGAATGCGAGAGGGTGGGACAAAGCTCTCCACCCTGACACAACAGTCGGGAATTCTCCGCACTGTGGTGGTAAGGTTTGGTGGCGTCGCCGCTGTGGTAACGTGGGTGTGTAATGTAGAGGAAGACAACGATCCGACAGCTGCTTCCACGACGACTTCGGACCCCTCTCACCTCTTGTTGTATTTCAATGTGCTGGGATCTGCTCGCCCCCACCCAAAGACTCTGGCCTCGGCCCAAGGTTTTGTCTCCGAGGATCCCACCGTTTCCGGCGAGTGACGCCGTGGACTCACCGTGCGGGGGCGCAGCTCGCAGGGCAGGGAAGCATTCTGGATGTACAAAGAGCAGATCAGTAGCGCCTGTTATGTAGGAGTTCGGAGTCGGCCGAAACACCCCCCGAAGTCGCCCCATCTGCAGGCCCCCCGGGTTCAGTTTACGGTTTACATTCCGAAGCATGGTTCTCTACCGCACACCCAGCAAGACACCCACCGCACACCCTACTACACCGCCACTCTCAGGGTCTAGACACACGGCCCAGCACCACTCAGGTCCACGCTGTTCACTGTCAAGCACAGCTGCGCGTGAACGCCTTCTCCACATCTCTCTCTCTCTCTCTCTCTCCAGGGAAATCACCGGAACGGGGTCATGCATGCGATGACATCTATGCATATCTGGACTAGTCTTGTTTGTCGGGGCTCCAGCGACTGCGGAAGGGATAGCCGCCAAAGGCGTCGATTATTTTGACGACGAATGCGGTCAAGGCCAAGAGACGGGAACCTACTATCTTACGTTCGGCTCCTACAACCCTGGCCCGGAACCGAACACAAGTTCCCAAGGTGAGCGAAACAATGGTGCCGGGTCTGTGTTTTGGCGGCTGCGCGTAGAATCTACACAAAATACTATGATGGGCCGTGACTGTCCGGTGGTCGCGGCGCTAGGGGTATGGGGGCCATAAAACAGGAATTGAAGTATCGGACGCTTCCCTGTTTGCCCTCTAGAGGATTCGAAGAGGCGGCGGTTATGCCGCATCTACGAAGAAGAGACAACTTGAACGTGTTTCTCCGTGGCACGTTTTCGCGAACGTTGCTACCCACCCGGTGTACGGAGGATAATAAAGCCTGTTAAAGTGCACGTTATCACCCGTTAACATGTCTATCGCATGCCTAACTAAGTCATGCTAACATGGGATGGTGGGTTATTACCGTATGCTATGAGATGCAAGCTAAGTCATGCTAACATGGGATGGTGGGTTATTACCGTATGATATGAGATGCACGTGTTCACAGTCATCATTCGCACGAAGGTCGTCAGCAAGCTGCGACACTATTTGCTTGATACCGTACAAGGAATGGATACCGTCCGGGAGAGACAACGAAGACAGGTAAGCGCAACCCCCTACATCACACTGATTCCCAGCCCCGAGGAACCGGTCTACGCACGAACTGTACTCAGCTACGAAGGTGAGAGATGTATGAGCGTTTTGTATGAGCGTCTTTTCAGCTGTTTTAACATCTGCCCGGGACAATTCAATCCTCCGACATCTCACAAATTACCTTACCCTGAATCTCACCACGAAAAATTGGGGGACTCTGTCGCCACAATATATAGGACGAAAAAGACTATGTACAGGTTAAGGATTGGCCCCCCGCCCCCCAATGGGACGGGCGGCCACACCGAGATGGATGACGGTGAGGGTTTGGGAGGAATTTAAGAATACAAGGTCTCCAGGCTCGGGCGCCAGGCGCCCTCGCCTTCAGCTCAGCAATACGCTGGAAGGAAGGGTGGTGGGTGAAGACTGTGCACATCATACCAACCGGTTGCCCCGGTGGTCTAGTGGGTAGCCTCGCAGCCTGCTAAGGGTCACGTCATGGAAAAGAGTCCCGGCAGGGTGAGTTCTTTTCTCACTAAATAAATCCTGGTCTAGGATGAAGCGACGCGCTGCAAAGCTCGTTCGTTAGTAAACCATAATCGACTTCGTAAGTCGCGAGGGAAGGGATTGCTGTCCCCTTCTCGCGATAAAAATACCTCAGGCACGAACCGCAGGAGGGGGCCAACACCCCCCTCCTATGTGACCCCGGTTGGGTCGTCTAGCTAGTAGAAGTGGAGGATAGGGGCCAGAGGGGCAGACGACAGAGTCCAAGACAAATAAACCAAGTTTACCTACAGTTCCGTGAGATGTGCATGCAATGCATGTTCGAACACTCAGAGAAAAAGTGAAAGCTTTACTAAAAAAAGGCTGTGGCGTACAACAATAACAATAACAATATCAAACCCTGTCCAAATTCCTTCCTTAAGCAGCAGACCTGTACTTGTAACCTTTGCCTCGGACTATGATTGTTGTTGCCTTCAGATTAAAAACCAGACCAACTAAGAACTCCACGAAAAGGGCACGCTTTCACGCTTTACTTGTACTGGCTAACTTCTGACTAGCTTCCAGGAAATATTCCACTAGATACTTGTGGTATCCACGAAATGTGCATAGACTATAAGTGATGTGACTAAAGCTTGATCTATCTACCCATGATCGGTAAAAAACAGGCAGGGATATTTTGTACTTGTAGTGGCATACCGCACATGAAACGTACGAAACTCCTACCGTTCACCACACGGTAAAGAGTGTAGGCCACGGCAGCACCTTCACTACTACAGTACTGTACAGCGTCGACAAACAAACTTGCAGTTCCGTGAGATGTGCATGCATGCATGTTCGAAACTCAAAGCACAACAGCCAGCTTTGGAGTACCGCATCTACAACTACTAGATCGGGAGGTGGAAGAGTATTTTTTAGGTGAAAAATATACCTGCTGTAGGCTTGTGCGGGAATATACACATTGTTGTTGTTGTTGTTTTCTTCACATTAAACTCGTGTCAGTTGCTAATCCCAAAATCTAGCAAAGGTCCGTGGTCACAAAAATGTTGGATTGCGTTCGTTCGCAGTCGCCCACTATATATACCTATTGTCAAAAAAAATGTCTTGGAAAAAAAAGACACCTCCACACGGACTCGAACCCATCATTTCGAGAGTCGATGTGGCCTTCACCGAGTTAACGAAGTGAATTAGCTTTTGTACAACGTCGTTGCCAAGCGTCGAACACCCAATCCCGATGGCAAACACCGAGGGGGAAGCTTGTTTTACAACTTCGTTGTCAAGTGACGAAAACCCAACCCCGATGGCAAACACCGGGGGGGAGGGAGGTGTACTCCGGGGGGGAGGGAGGGTTGTGGTATATTACTAGATCGGGAGGTGGAATAGTTTTTTGTTGAAAAACGTACCTGCAGTAGGCTCGTGCGTTGCTACTCTTCTGCCTTCCCCTCGCTGCCTCGGGAAGGTTTTGCATAGGCATGACTNAAAAGACACCTCCACACGGACTCGAACCCATCATTTCGAGAGTCGATGTGGCCTTCACCGAGTTAACGAAGTGAATTAGCTTTTGTACAACGTCGTTGCCAAGCGTCGAACACCCAATCCCGATGGCAAACACCGAGGGGGAAGCTTGTTTTACAACTTCGTTGTCAAGTGACGAAAACCCAACCCCGATGGCAAACACCGGGGGGGAGGGAGGTGTACTCCGGGGGGGAGGGAGGGTTGTGGTATATTACTAGATCGGGAGGTGGAATAGTTTTTTGTTGAAAAACGTACCTGCAGTAGGCTCGTGCGTTGCTACTCTTCTGCCTTCCCCTCGCTGCCTCGGGAAGGTTTTGCATAGGCATGACTATAGCGAGGGGGGGGTCTTTCTAGCGAGCAGGGCTAGACTCACCCTCAAGGGACCGATACCTTCTTGCTGCGGCGCACCCGCCGCGAGGCGTGNTACGAAGCGGAGCGGGTCGAGTTTGGTCGTGCTAGGACTGGCCACAGTGGAACCGGAGCAGGTGGACGGCATCGAACCGTGGCGCACGGACAACATCTCTTGTGTAATCAATTATTTTCCCGTTTTTTTCCTAAATACAGGTGTTGGGTGTGTGTGACGTCACTGGTTTTGTAGAGAGACGTGGCAGAGACGGCGCGGATAACCCGGGTGCTTTTTATTGTGTACCTGCATCGTGGAAGACCCGTTCAATGTGGAACGATTCCTAGTCAGTGTCGATGTTCACACTGCTGTGCCTAACACAGATTATCTGGATAGATTCGGGTGATTGTTAATTGCAATGATGGCTTTGGTTGAGCGTTCTTCTTCATTGTATGTCCACGGACTGACTCATTCTGACANTCGGGTGATTGTCAATTGCAATGATGGCTTTGGTTGAGCGTTCTTCTTCATTGTATGTCCACGGACTNCTGCGGCGCACCCGCCGCGAGGCGTGCGTAGTGGTGGAGTTGGGTCGGCATCGGTGCGTCATGTACAGAGGTGCAGATGCGCGGGCCTCCAGGCCGTCGGTGTAGGCAGCAATGCCCATCTCATCTTTGTGCGCGGAGGCAGACGTCATCAGAAAGGTGGACGGGCACTATGTACACGGCCCTAGGATTGCTAGAGGGAGCTGTACTGTCTCAGTAACTTGGTTGTACCATCAAAGGAGGAGGGGACAGGCGGTGACGAGCTGATTGGGCTGGTTGACCCTTCGACGCGAGAATTTTCAGACCAAGAATCCTAAGTGCAACGAGGGAGAAAGCGAGGAACCGACTGGGAAGAACAGCAACGAGAGCGTGTACGAAGCGGAGCGGGTCGAGTTTGGTCGTGCTAGGACTGGCCACAGTGGAACCGGAGCAGGTGGACGGCATCGAACCGTGGCGCACGGACAACATCTCTTGTGTAATCAATTATTTTCCCGTTTTTTTCCTAAATACAGGTGTTGGGTGTGTGTGACGTCACTGGTTTTGTAGAGAGACGTGGCAGAGACGGCGCGGATAACCCGGGTGCTTTTTATTGTGTACCTGCATCGTGGAAGACCCGTTCAATGTGGAACGATTCCTAGTCAGTGTCGATGTTCACACTGCTGTGCCTAACACAGATTATCTGGATAGATTCGGGTGATTGTTAATTGCAATGATGGCTTTGGTTGAGCGTTCTTCTTCATTGTATGTCCACGGACTGACTCATTCTGACAGCACTTCAGACAGCAGCTCCATGCCCCGAGCTTGTGTACTATGCACCATGGTGTTATTATTCTACAGACAGCACTGCAGACAGCAGTGCGCTGTAGTCGACAAACATTCATTTTGGTGAAATTCGGGACAATGGGGGGGGGTGATGCTGCTGCTGTAGTCGATTTGTAGTGTGTGGGCGTGTAGTTCAGTTGTGAGCACGCAAACGTGCTGTACGGATTGCAGGTGTACCTCCTCGGGCTTGCGTACCCTTTTCTTGCTAATAGTGTGTGTGTTCTTTAGATCTTCTGATGGCCCTAGCATTTTTGTGACCATGGGCCGAGTCTTTACTAGATTTTTGGGACTAGCATCTGACACGAGTTTATTGTGAAGAAGAAGAAGAACAACAACAACAACAGCAACCATTGGCCCGTTTACTACATAGCAGTATTACAATATATTGATTGAGGTGTGGGGAGCGCCAATCAATGTGATGGACTCCGAAAAAACGAATGTCTTGGAAAAAATAGTCACCTCCACACGGACTCGAACCCATGATTCGAGAGTCAGGGTGGCCTTCACCGAGTTAACGAAGTGAATAGGCTTTTTACAACGTCGTTGCCAAGCGACGAAA